GAATATTCATCAGTTATGTAAGTTTCAAGCCAAAAGGTAAAATGGTTTTCCACTTATCGTGTTATCGGTGAAAGTGCACGACGGCGACGACGGCGACGACGACAGACGCAGGTGATGGCTATATGTACAGACACATCTGTGTCTGTACATAAAAATGTAACCTGTTCATCAGTTGATGCTTGATGGCCAAATCATTCTCTTCGGCCAGCACCATGACGGAGTTCTCTGAAGTGGTGCCATGAATCCAATTGGCACCAAGTTCTACAAATGAGCTCCCAAAGTCCTCAGTACGACACCTGCCGCCGATCCTGTGCATAAACAAAGAAGAACCATTGTAAAACAGAATAATACTCAGGCTTATATACAGGGTATTATACTGTTTGTTTCGTACGACAAGGCCGATAAACTCTTGAAAAGGGAGAAGACACAAATCGGTTCTCAAATCATGATTTAAATTTAATAGCAAACAAAGAGAGGTGCATTTATTATTTTTAATGTGTCTTTTCCCCTCTAAATTAAATCTCTCTCTAAATAGCGGCCAGCACTAATTAAGACATCAAAGTCACTGGTTAGCTAACTTGTGTTGTAAATGCAACATAAAGAAGAAGACACATCTGATCTTCTGTTTCTTTCGTCAAAAAATTAAAAACGAATAAATAAATAAATAGAAATAAAAATAAAAAAACACACCTCATGTAACGGGTAGTTAAGGGATCCACATTTAACGGAAACACAGTGTGTATGCCCGGTACATCAGGTACATAAACATGTATATGTGCTTGAATTCACTGTACCTGTTACTGGCTTCAAGTACCAGGAAGTCCTCAAAGTCCGCTGCTGTGAGGGCCTCCGCCACAGTAAGTCCAGCGATTCCTGCCCCAATGATGACCACGCCGTAAACCTTGTCCGAGGTTTTATCTGATGACATGCTGGCACTTACAGCTTGTACGTTGTCAGAATCTTGTCAGTTCCGCTTGAAGAGTTAATTGGTCAACCTAACCTGATGCAAAGATATCAGCAGTAAAACCTTCAATCTGGTAGGCCGGAAACAAGAAGTCGTACAACTCCTTGCTACAACGAAGCTGTTATAGTCTATAATCTCATGCTTTGTTCAAGTACAGTGTTTCTGTTGCTGACCGTAAAGGTTTATTGTGACTCCATGATAGTTTGCAATTCTGATATAATATTTTGATCACGAGGGGAAAATGATTTATTTAATGCTTATTTTACTGTTGGTAAGGTGTATTTTCCCCGTTTTTTTATATTCAGTGACAGCAAACTAAAGTCGCCCAAAAACAATTAACTGCTCTATACAGATGATTATTATAATTTTTTACATCGTTATACTCGTAGGAGATAAATCAAAGAACAAACCTATTGATGACTGAATTTTCAAAGTGGGTACAATGATTCACAGCTAGACGTTTTGCATTTGTGACAGTGAAGTATGTTCCTTTTTGGGGATAGACGATTGTTCATGGTTCCAGGAGAGTGAAACTTTGATACAGACTTCTTCATGTAGGACCCTAAAATATTCATACATAGTTTGCAGACTAAAAATTTTTAAGAGCAGGCCTGTGACCTCAATTGCACCTCTAAACTGGGTTAGGGTGAACAATGTTTCCGCCCCGGTCGGTTTCTATAAGCCGACAGGGGTTTCACAAAATTGAGCTACCACTTGAAATTCTTGTGCGTAACCGTAAAGTGCGTTAAGTTCAGTCAAGTGCTACTTGTCACCTACATATAGGACAAATTTCTTCGTCCAAGGTGACACCTACAATATGTAAGTGTGAAATCGCGCTCAGTGGGAAAAGCAAGGGGTATGTCTGACGAAGAACACATTTGCCTGATGATCTCAAATCCCACAGAGGTCCTTTGTAGAAGTTTGTAGAAAACCCTCTGGTTGAGAGTTAAAGCATGTAGCACTCATGTTTTTTTCCATAATGCAAATATGTTCAAAACAAATATGTTGCAAATGATGCTCTATGTTACATAAAATTCGCGTTTATGTTTAACAATATTTAACTGAGTAACACTCACAGTAACAATACGTACCTTCGCTCCGGTTTTTGTCCCCTCCTCCATTGGTTATTGTGCCTCCCTGGAAGGTCATATAAATAGAGTGTCACCGCCTTCAACAATCTACCTGCAATATCCTGTAGTTTCAGCAGTGTTTTAAATAGGTCATTGATAGCTTATTACTCATGCGCAATGTGCAAGAAAGAGAGCATGGCAGCAGAGTGAAGCAGCATGTGTAATGTTATTGCAGGGGAGTTTTTGTCTTTTCTTTGGTTTTAAAACGTGTTAATTCATAATCACCATGTCAAGGTTCGTTATAAGTACCTAGGACTTCCAACCCAGATAATGTATTGAAATTTTTAATGACTTAAAGTGTGATTATACCCTTAATCTTTGTCCAATCAGTACCAGTGCACCTGGCAAGAAGACGCATCTTGTTTACAAACTACATGTGGGTCCTAGTTGTCTGTGAAACAACTGCATTGTTCGAAACGTCGGTGTGAAAGTACTAGCAATGCATTTCCCCTCAAGAATCCATGTCTGTTTGGACATGCATTCCCTTGGATGAACTGTCCTACCCAAATGTACATGTAGATTCCAAGCTATATTTATACCCACCTAGGACATATTCTTGTCGGCTATAATTCCCTTGTCACATTGCGGTCTGTGCAGAAACGCAAGTCCTACAGATATAATGTCTGTATAATTATTTCAGCACGCAGCGATAATTATCGGTAATTTGTGTGTCTTTGTTAGCAGTGTCCACACAGGCCCATTGGTAAGACGTTTGGATGAAATACCAATTACAGGAGGAGATATGAAGTGAATTCTAGTCTCCGATAAATATTAGCTAAATTATATTAATTTTTACTCCACTAATGCCTTTCGGTAATTTGAATACCCATACGGCGACAGTTTCTGTTAGGTTATGGCTTTTTTTCTGCAGAGAGTTTTGATTGTTTAATGACTTATGTATTCTCCAGAACCGTGACCCTATGCTCTTTTGCGATGATAAATGTATATCCTAGTGTCATACAAACATTGATTGTTTAACATTTCATTGGTGTGATTCAGACGCGTAAGTGGAAAAGTTCGAAGTTAACAATGTAATCAACAATTCCTGAAAAAAAACAACAAAAATTCCTCAAAACGTTCCTCTTATTGCTATCGAACAAATTTGTGTATCTGCAGCCTGTCAAAAGATACCCCGTACCTGCTCGAATAACCACTGGACACGTCACGATGATCGAAAACTCGACCCTTATTAAAATGGTGAATATGAAACATTTTTCTCTCTACCATTATTTATTTTTAAAGATGTTTTCTTATTTTGTCGTATCTTGTCTTATTTTATTTCCTTCAAAGAAAACCCATTGTTTGGGAGACTTATATGTACCATTTCATTAAAATGAGGGCTTTCTTCAATCGAAGTATAAGCAAAAACGTTTGATTAGCAACTAGGTTAGACTAGTCTGCCAATATCATAAGTGTTTTCCAATCAGAGCGAGCCATTCGGACCATCCGGACCCCTCCCACCCCCCGCTACCCACACACACACACACACACACACACACACACACACACACACACACTTAACCACGAGCAGGGCCTCCAAGGTCGTAATCAAGATCCATGGAGGGTTGACCATAGATTTGACTAATATTAAACAGTTTCTAAGTAACGAATAACAAATGGTTATGACGATTTCTTTAATATTAACTTGACAGCCGGATTGATAAAACCTGAATATATAGGGTCCCGTCAGCTTGCAGACCGAAAATATCATTAGGATTTCGGACAAACGTCAAGGCATCTACGAGGGCTGGTGAGTTTCATCTGTACAGCATGTGCATGTGGCACTGACATACCAGTATGTATGTTATTATTTATTCATACATAAAAGAACGGTTAATTAAAAAAAAACCCTCTGAAATTAGTTTTTTAATTTAGAAAGAACGTGACATTTCGTGTCAGGTGTAATTTTGATTTTTTTATATCATTATTCAAGATGTTTGGTGGGTGCTTGTATCCACTCCAAAGTTTTGAAGTAGTCTCGTAGCTTCGCGAACGCCAGACTCGCGCGCTCCATGCATTGTAGAATGGTACATTGTATGAGTGGCTTCGCCAGCGAAAAGGACTCTTAATCGACCATTGGAATCCGTCAAGGGTTCGGCTAGAGAGCTGAAGTGACTGGCATCTGACTGCATTCTGGGGCACGAGTACGAACCCAGTGTGTGCTGGTTGGTACCCCAGGTTGACCAAATGACCTTAGAAGGTTTCGGGATAGAGGGGTCCCCGAGGAACTGGCGCAGTAGGCCGGTGCAGGTTTCTGAAATGTCTTCCTCAGAGAGGTGCTCCATGTGATACGCCTCGTTGCATGAGATCCACACGCAGAGGCAGCTAGGGTTGAAATAGACGTCATCAAAGGAAAATATTCTCTTGTACCACTGGCTTTTTGGGTCAGTGATGACAGCCTCATCGTCGTCCCACGCAAGCTTGACACTACCAAAACCTACTTCAGAAGACCAAAATGGACGGTCATAGTGAAGAAATATTTTGTCTACTAACCCAAAATCCAAGCCATGAATAGCTTCGATTTTTTCATGTGGAAGGGATGGTTGGAACAGATTTCGGTGATGTTCTTTCAGGTATCCCAGCGACACCGTGACGACGACACATTTGGCTCGATAGATGTCGCCACTAGAACACCTGATTTCAACTAGATCATCTCCCCAACTGATCGACGTAGCCTGCTTTTCAATGTTAAGCCTCTCCTCACATCTAAAGCGCGATATGATTGCATTAACTAACGACCTCGTGCCCCTTGGAATAAGAACGTCTCCTCCTTCTATTTCGGGAGCCATACTGCATAATTCGAGCGGAATGTTGGCGATTTCCACTCCCCAGTGAAATCGTAGATAGTTGGAACAACAGTTAAAGATGGCAATTATATCTGTTCTCTCAGCTGCTGGGAACTTTTTTAGGTTTTCTTGTAACCTTACGACATAATAGTCTCTCATGGTGAAAAGGGTTTTATCTCCTTCATTGGGCCATGGGTGTCCTGTTTCCACTTCGGCCTCGATCTCTTTAAAGAGAGCCCAGACTTTGGCACCCAGTTCTTTATCAATTTGTCTGCCATTACTCCTGTAGAAATATCCACGGGCCCTGTAAATAACGATAAGAGTACATAGCACGCCTTTACAAGATAGCGATTCTTAGAGATGTTTGTCAAAAGTTCGTGTTTAAACCATAAAAAAGAGTTTCTTAGCGCTGTTTATCAATTTGGTTTCCCATAAGTAATAAGAAAATCAATCAGATAGAAAAGATCTCCCCCAAAGCAGCTTAATTCTCTTTATAGCTAATAATCTATTTAACTGTTTTTAGGAATTTAATCGATTCTAAAATGAACCATTTATGACCTACATGTATCTTGAAATATCAAGCTCATTTAAACCACCCTGAGCTTCAGAGCTAACTTGACACTAACCTTTTCACTGTAGCCTATTCTCCATCGTGTCAAGTAACCTCTGACCACATTCGATTGCACCC